TGGTAACCTAGGAATGGTGACCAAGTGGCTACTAAAAAAGACTGGACATACCCCATTTACCATACATTGAGTTGTCTGGTATTGCAAATGGTATGCCATCATTGGGGTAATTCTCATTCCTGGGCTACCATACAGTCTCAAAGGCAACGTAACCAATCTGGCAAATTTCAATGTGAAAAAACTGAAAAGTGTAACATGCTATATTTGACCCTGTAACTTTCAAAAACACCATAAAACGTATACATAGGGGGTACTGTTTTACATGTGAGACATCGCTGAATACAAATATGTGTATTTTATTGCAGTATAAGCAAACAGTATTATGACGGTCACAGTTAGAATGTCACGTAGAACTAAACATTTTTTAAAAAATTCTTATTTTCTCCCATTTTTCAATATTTTATTCATATTAAATGATGGTTTATACCTAAATATTTGATGTTAAATGAAAGCCCTGTTTCCCCTGAATAAAATGATATATAATAGGTATGGGTAAACATAATATGAAAGAGGCGAATTACACCTTAACAGACATATAGCGCAAATAAAAGTTTTTGTTTACGTTTTGTTTTGATCACAACGTGTACATTTGGCTCAGTCCTTAAGGGGTTAAAGATACATCATATTTAAAAATTACCTTACCTAAACGGCCCGATTCTGTATATTTTAGGGTGAAATAATGGTAATAAAATTAGTAATGATTTTTTTACTATAACAATATTAAATAAAAACCAACGTTGATTTCAAGATAGAAGAAAGCAATCCATTAATTCCATGGGCATAGAAAGCGCAAAAAAGCACATTACACAAATCATCAATATAATCTAATATTATTTAATCAGAAAGTTATATTTCTTAATATATGTACTGCTTCAGACGATAGGTCGAGAAGATATGAGACTCAGTAACATCTTAAGAAACTCAATAATATAGCAGAGGAAAATATCTGAAACCTTTGCTAGATAGACCCGAGGCCAGTCAACTGTAAACATTTATCAGATGTTGAATTCCACTGAGAATACTCCCATGGAAGATCCAAAATAGGACAAAATCTCTCAACTCCTGCATAACTGTAGCAATGTCAGAACTGTCAACTCTTCAATATCTAGCCAACCTACTATGATAAAACGATAGCAACCCAGACATAGTTTCTTGTCTGTCTCAAACAACGACTATGGAATTTAGATATATTTTACTGCACAATGTAAAATCTCTCATATAGGAGTTCAATATATAGATTGTGTCCACCCATTGTTTTAGCCTTAATGTCCCTGTATGTTTTGCGTTTTTATGCCTTGACGGTATAGTCACTAAATCCCAAGTTTACTTAAGTTACATGTCATTGGGATCACTTAACTAATTGAGCCACATGTTTTTCTTGCATTGCTGCACTTTTACTCACAAATGTAATACACTTCTACTAGAGCAGAAACACTCCATTGGAAATCACGTAACCATTTTACATACATTATACCATTTATTTATACTACAAAATTGATGGAAATCATTGTATGTCCATCCTTCTGTCTGTAGAGCAAATTAATTGTACAAAGAACACAGATAATACTTTGTGACTAAGTTAAAGATAATAATCCAGTTTCTGTGCCATTGGCTAATGGTTAATGTCAATATAGTATGATCCTCTGAGTTTGGTGAAGATCATATCACCTGCATGCATGTTTATTTTTTCATAGGCATAAAGAAAAACATACATACTTAAAATAGAAAATAGAATTAAATACAATTGAAAGTATTATGAAACCTGTAAATAGACAGAGATGATCATTAAGAATTTACTAGCTCATCACATTTCTAGCTGTATTACTGGAGTAATTCTATTGTTGGGGTTAGTGCTTTCAGTTTTATAAAAGGTCTGTATTATTATTAGAATAACTTGAAATTTTGAGTTTATACACTATGTTTGACAGAAACTGACACTCTGCAATGGGAATTCCCACTGTTATAGTATTGCCTGTAAAGTTTATTTTAGTAATGTTGGTAAGTGTCTCAAAGGGAGAGCACACTCAAAATGTACTACACATAGATACATTACTTGTATTCATATTACATTCATAAGTAAAGTGTGTATTATTAAAAATGCATGTATTGTATTATAGCTGATATGAAGTCAGTTACTTGGGGGACTAAGTCTGTTCCACCGTGTGTATGAATTAGCAAACATCATGAAGTCACAGATTACTAAGGAATCGCTTATAACTGCATTCAGTGAAATCTCTAAATGTTTAAATATGGTTTTTAAATCACTGCAGATTAAGGCACTGTACTACATAAACAGTAGTAATCTAATTTTGCTGATATAGAATGCCGGTAACCCCTTGAGTAAGGTCTGAAAGATTTGTGATTAAAATAAAGTAAGAATTGCACTCTGTTTACCATGCCATAGCATTATATTGTTGTTGTGTTTGTTTTTTTTACATGCTAGGCATTTTTTGTTGTTGAAATTTGACAATTTTTATTTTACACATTAAGAAAACAAATTGGACGGTTAAAGGGATACAGAAGGAAAGAATGGGGAGGGGCATTTTCAGCAGATACTTAGGCATCACCATGTACATTATGCAGTTTTCCAAGACCAGCAATGTTATACATAAAAGGTTCCAGGTTTCGATTGTAGCAAGCAACATCTCTGGTGGAAGTGGACTAGAGTCAACAGCCTCAAGGTAGACCTTCAGGAAATGAGGTACCAGAAGTTGTAAGATCTCCACAGTTTGAGCTTGCGAGATCTGGGGGAGATGTATGTTGGACAGGTATTGGAAGATACCTTCGTCTTCAGGGCTATGGATATTGTCGCTTAGGTGCAGATAATAGAGTTTCGAATAAAAGTTCGCAAACTCATGGCTAATATCCTCAGGGTTAATATTTTTCTTACCCTTACCCTTGAAAATATGAGCTATTTTGATTGCAGAATATTTACTGTGCAGTCTAGAGGCCAGGTATTTGGTCGCCTTTCCGCTATTGTGATATGTGTTAGCTCGTAATTTATGGAGAAGGTATTTGGTTTTCTCTGCATTAAGCTCCGCTAGTTGGACGTATAGCTGATTCAGTTTAGCTGCCAATTCCATTGAGGGTTGCATCTTATTTATAGAGGCTGTAAGGGCAATTTGCCTATGCCAGTCTATCAAATTGGCGTTTTTTAAGGAAGGAAGATTGGTGTATAAACTAGCCTCTAATGACGGCCTTGTGTGCAGACCATACTGCTAAATCAGACACTTCATTATCGGCATTGGCATTGAAATATTCTTATATTTCCAATAGCGAATAGTGGAAGTGAAATCGGGGTCTGAAAGTAAGGAATCATTGAGACGCCATGTCCCTTTACCTTTAAACTGGAACTTATCAAATTGTTCTAGGGTGACAGGGCCGAGGTCCAACCATGTAATCTCTCCTATATCACATCTGGAGAGTTGGGCTAACAATGCTCTATCTAAAAAGAATGCGTCGATCTGGGTATAGGTATTATGTACCCACGAATAGCATGTGTAATCTTGCTCTACAGGATGGAGAGTTCTCCAAGCATCGTATAGATCATGTAGAGATATAAGTTTGGTAATTGACTTACCCACCTTCTCTCTGGCTCTTTGACTGCGACCCGTAGTGGGAGCTGTTGTATCCAGGGGAGTCTAGATAAACTTAAAACTTCTGAAAAGGAGTACACCACCTTGTTTACATTTGTCAATTTTGCTAAGCAGCGAGTGGAGGTAGTACTAAGCGTTTTCGTTAGGAAAGTAGGTCATAGCGAGCATATACTAGGTATTGTTAAACAGGCCAAGTAAAATGATAAAGCTTTCTTTTGGATCAATATAGTGCTTCTGAAGTGCAAAGGCTAAATCCCTGTGTATGACAATGGGGACTCCTTTAGTTTTATTGTCTCACAGCGCATGGTATTGAGTGGGAGAGTGCTTAGTGAACAGAGTAGGGGTATGTCCCTTTTTAAAGGGACTTACTTGGATACATGCAGTGTCAATTTTATTTCTTTGTAAGATCTCTGAGTAAAAGCCTCATCTTACCAGTGGTATTCAACCCTTTTACATTATACGTAACAATTTTCATACTTAAAGTTTAAGTTTAAGTTATACCCCGTGGTGTCAAGATACCAACAATAGAGTCACCCCAATGCGAGTCACTAGAGTTAAGTGGATTGGATAGGAAGGAAGTCATACTATCTCTCCTAGGGTATGGAAGGGTGGTGTCTGGGGCAGTCCCCATCATCAATGGGCTAAAAAGGCTTGGGGGCAATTCTGCACCTTGAGACTGGTAAGTACTTGGTTTGGTAGTTAGTCTGCTAGATAGGGTGAATAAGGAGGAAAGGGTAGAAGTAAGGCTAAAGGGGAGACAAAACTTGGGGATAACATACCCAACTCGGCTCAACTAATATGAGCCATGGCGCGCCAAGGGGGACTTGGTCTCAGGTTGTGGGGAGCATGGTGGTGAGCATCAATATAAAATAGAACCACTCACCTACGGTGGTAAGGAACCAACCTTGAAAGAAAATATCATTGAAAACCTGTGCTCAACTGTGGAACAGCTGTCCAAGTCTATGACGGTACGCTATGGTGGCATAATTAGATCAAGTAGAAGTGTTTTTTTTATTTTTTTTTATTTTACCTAAATAGGAACATAGAGTCAACAGTGGTTATCTGCTTGAAATATGCAGCTTTACAGTAGGGCAGAGCGAGAGCTTTAGTCCGGTATCCCCAGTGGTCTAGGCAATGAATAGTTGCTTTCAAGCTGTGGGGTTGAGGTTAAGCCTCCTGGTGGGCATCGAGAGCTTAGAAAAAATCAATAACATAAACAGTGAAACTTATGAACCATAAACATTTAGTATGCATAATATACCCATTAAAATTTAGGTCAATATGCACCCAACATATAAGATAAGGGAATACGTATACCATATAGAGCTACCAGTTACTTGCTGTGCAACCATCAGGGTCGCGCAGCTCTCAGGTGAGTGTCCATTCCAGCGACATCCGAGGGACCTTTGTGGCTCTTTCCACCGCAGCATCAGGTGGTGGAAGTCCACAGTCCTTGAGTTTTGCTATGCCAGCTTCAAGAAAGGTCGCTCCATGGATGGCGTTGTTATAGTGGAGTAGCAACTTTGCTGGGAATGCCTTGAGCTCGCAGTGAGGTGACATACTCTTCCAGAATTGGAGGGTTACTGCTAAGAGATCTGTGAAAATCTTGAGGGCTTGACACGGATCAGGCATCTCTGCAGATCTGCAGGCCTGCACCAGCCTCTTCTTTGCATGGAAAAAATGCACCCGAATGATGACATCTTGAGCAGTAGATCTAGGGAGGTGTTTAGGTCATCGGAGTTTGTGGGCCTCTGGAAAGGTAGTTGGGCTGGGTGAATCTCTTGTGTTAGGGCTTGGAAGAAATCCAATAAGTAGTTATTGAGGGCTGGAGCCAGGACGGTCTCAGGAATAACCCATGTGCGCAGGTTATTCCTCTGAGCCAGATCTTCTATGTCAGTGATTTTCAGCTTGTGATCTCTGAGGATTGCATCAATTTCCTGCAGTTTGTCTCAGCAAACTCATCCATTTTCTATTCCACGTGGGATATACGTTGGCCCATATTGTGGAGTTATTTACGCAGATCTGTAGTCAATGTGTGTATTTGAGTTTTCAGGCTAGTCTGTATGCCTTTGGAGAATTCCACCATCATCGCTGTAGTTAGTGGTCTCTCGTCCGGCAATGAGCCTGGGGAGGCTGGGGGCGAATAGGATCCTTCTCTGGAACATAGCTCGCCGCCATCTTTTGAGGCGCTTCGGCTTTCCCGCGCTTTCAATGCAGAGGTCTTAGCCAAGAAAAAGGATGCTCTTTCCGATTTGGAAGCTTTGTTTTTTTTTTGTCTCTCCGACATAGTGAAGCTGTTCCTTGCTTTTAAGGTTAATAATTGCTTTGCAGACAGGTTGTTTTGAGCTCCATCGCACCCTAAACTTAGGAGCTTCAAAGACGTGAGTCCATACAGCTCAGGTGCCAGGCCATGCCCCATGCTAGATATTTTTTATGCTCCTGGATTTCTGCATGTATACTGCATAATTTTCATTTTGCTTAGCTGCTATGTAGGGGCCTGTTTCTGCAAATAAACAATATTTTATGAAGCGTAGGGAGTCATACATGCCAAGAAGGATCTAATGATAACTATATATTCCTTCTAATTAACACCACTTTCTGCCTTGCGGTTTATAATGGTCTTAGAACTGGTCAATGCTATTATTTTCATATAAGATACACTTCACTATTATGAATTTTCCATGTTTTGTGGGGGGCTTTGTCTGGTGTGACATATTAAAAAGTCATGCAATTCTACTGCCATCCATCCCACAATGATTATACTCACACGTGCACACACAAAAACACTGAATGATAGTTAAATTGTATTCAGTTGTTACAATTAAGCTGTTTCAAAAAAAAATACTGCTAATTAAAACACACATTTCTGTTTAAAAAGGGCAAGGGGTTTTTAATTTCAGCTGTTTTGCTATTACAATTTGGCTGCCATCAAGTTAAAGGTACACTTTAACACTAGGAATACAAATCTGTATTTCTAACATTACAGTGTCCCTGTCGCTAGGGGTATTAGGTCTCATCCCATCACCCGTTTGTGATTGAAAGGGTCAAACCTCCCCTTTTTTGCCATAGGAAAGCTCTAAATCAATGCTTTACTATGAGGCTTTCGTATCTTGTGACCGTATTTTAATCTCAGTGGAGCAGAAGTGCCTCTAGTGGCTTTTATACTGATAGTCACTAGAGGGGGACTGAACCTTGAAATGTAAACAGCGCAGTTTCTCCATAACTACAATGTTTTACTTGCAGGGCTAAGAGGACAGGGACATGCACACAGACCACTTCATTAAGATGAAGTGGTATTGGTGACTATAGAGATGCTTTAAAGTCAAAGCTGCTAAGGGAAAATCAGGATAGTTAGCAAGTATGAGTATAGATGAGAAGATTTGTGTAACCAGAGTCACCTTAAGTGATCCTATAGCTGAGAAGATTTGTATAACCAGAGTCACCTTAAGTGATCCTATCTGCATTTGTATATAAATATATCCAATAAGTAATGATTGCACATGCCTTGGAAAATGAGTCTTAAGTTTATTATCCACTTTTCATTTTCAGTTTGTTGGAAGCCTAATTTTTTATTCACTGTTGAATGACAGGAGATACATCAAAGTTTCACCAAAATTTTCCTAGGCACATTTTTGATGTAATTGACATGATGTTTTGGATTTTTAATTGTTTTTTGCTCCCTTACCATTCTTTTTTAATAGAAGACTTTTTTTGGCAATGCAACAGATTTATGAATTTTTATGATCAAATATTAGAATTCGTAATATTCCAGAAGCAATTCCTAATGATAAGCTACAAGACTTCCTTTTGGAATTCTTTGAAAACCTAATCCCAAATGAAGAACAACATGATTATTTAATTGATCGATGTCACTGATTGCACAAACCTCAAAACGTTTCAAATTCACTCTCATGAGATGTAATTGTGAAAATACATTCCAATCACACCAAGGAGAGAATTATGGCTGCGAAGAGAAATAAGCCTATTCTGAAAGATAAATTCAAGAAATTTTTCAAGATCTCTCATATCTCACTCGAGTTTGGAGAAAAAACTTAAACGCAAATTTGATTATTTTGAGATAAAAGAATATCAGCTATAGGTGGGGCTTCCCCACTTCACTGAAAGTCAATTGGAATGGTAGAATGGAAAATTTTAACTCTCCAGAAAAAACTTGCTGTATGGATGAAAAACTCCAACATCATATGATAAGAGTGTTAGCAAAATGTGATTGATATGATTTTTTTTCCTTTCTCTCTCTATAAACCACTTGAAAAAATATACATGACTAGAGGGTTGGAGTGTTAAGGTATACTAGAAAATGGTTTTAGATATTAAGTAAATAGGTCACTTTGGAAGAGACAGTAATATTAAGAACTGTTTCAAAAGATAATTAATTGTAAATAAATATGTAGTAGATAGCTACTCTAAGGAATGTGGGGATGTCAAATAATTTTAAAGATTACTCTATAACATCTTTAGGAATAGGATGATACACTTAAACGACACTATTGTTCAGTTTGTTAGAATTGTGGGATTTTCATATGGACCGTACTGAGTTAATTTCTGTATGCACTTAAACCTGTCTGGAGGTTAGGCTATTTAGAACTTAGTACAATGGCGTAGAGGCAGAAATGCCCAGGAATCTAAGAACTAACTATAATTAAAATTTATATCGGCTCCTTGAGAGAGGTATAATGACTGAACTATAAATACACAAATAACAAGAGGCAATTTTATTTGTTTTTTGTGATCTCAAGCACAAATTTATATGATTAGTCGCTGAGTGTTAAGATTGAATAGTTCACTGCTTATTTAATTAATTGTAAAAATAAATTTAGCAGATAACCAGACATAGGAATAAGGGGATATCAAACGAATTTAAATATTTCTTTATTAATAAAAAGGGAGAAAGAGAGGAGGTAAAGGAGAAATAAAAAAGAATATTTTTTTTTCTTTCGAAATAGGTTGATACACTTAAGCGACACTATTGGTCAGGCCATTAGAAATTTGGTACTGTTATATTGAGTGTACTGAGCTAATAACCCCTTCACACACTTAACGATGTCTGGATCCGAGACTTATTGAGAATGTAGTACAATGGCTAAAAGGCTGAAATGCTCAGGAGTATAAGAACTAACCATAACTAACTATACTAACTATAACTAGAACAAGGTATATTGACTGTACTATAACTATCTTTGTCTACATTGATATCCAGTATTATTGATTTAATCTGATTTTTTTTTTATAGTTCGAGATATCACTATAAGACTCTACTTCCTTCATAAAAGCGCTTATAGAGATGACAGGGTCGGAGCAACCTAATGAGGTGAATATTTTTACGATACATCTAAATGACAATATAGGTTTAATCTTGTAGAATTTTGGGACTGCCATATTGATTATATGGAGTTAATAATTTTTCCACATGAGGTACGGAGTTAATCATCTCTCCACATCCTGAAGTTTCTCTGGACAATAGGTCTATTAAGATCACAGTATAATGACTAAGCGAGTACGTTGCTGTAATGACCAAGAATCTAAGGGCTAATCATAATTATAACTACATGGCTTCTTTGTGGGAGATATACTGACTGTACAATAATTAAACACACATAACAATGTTTTTTTTCCTTCTCTTTTCTTTCTTTCCTGCTTTGAAGATCCATCCTATGGTGCTTTCAAGGAATTAGGTATGGGATTTTTCTCTTTTTCTCTATTGCAAATCAAATGATATTTTAACTCCTACATGAGGCTCATCCCAGTCCCCACTATGTGTCCTTTTTTGAGACACAAGAACTAATTTGGTGGGTGGTCATCCGAACCACCATTCGTGGGATCAGCTCTTATCAGCAAGAGCTTCTTGTCTGATGGGAAGCAAGTCCATTCCAAATTGGTTAATAACCATTTGGATATGTCTTACATGTTGTGTATATGTATTTGTATTGTCATGTGATGAGGGCTTTGGAGAATTTCCTTGGAATAATGCTTTTAAATTATCTCAGTGAATACTCAGGGTCTGAACTCACCCCATAAGAAAGCATTAGTCTATAATTTTTTGAGTAAAGAAAAGGTGGAAGTGGGATTTCTGCAAGAATAGACTACGTTAAATAGGGTGGATTTAGATTCCCAATACTATTGCAAGCATCTATCAAAGATAAAAAGAAAAGAGGTGTTGCTATTATTATTGCTGAAACAATACATTTTGAACTACTTTATCAATATAAAGATCCTGAAGGGAGATTTTTCATTGTTATATGTAAATTAAATGAAAACATATCTACTTTGGTTAATGTATATTTGCCAAATGACTTCCAAGTGGTGACTTTAAAAATTTTTTGGAACACGTAGAACCATTGAAGACTGGAGTCTGCGTAATAGTAGGAGATTTCAACTACGTTTTGGACCCCAATATTGATAAAAACCTCTCTAAGAATTTGTACATTAACAGATCCTTAGTTAAAATGGTCAAATATCTTACTAAAACTATGATTGTTTTGATCTATGGAGATCTTTATATCCTGAATAGTTAGATTTAACTTTTTTCTCTAAAGTGCATCTTTACTATTCACGCATTGATATGTTTTGGGGAAATGCTATATCCTTAGAAAATATAGAAAAGATTAAGATACTAGACAATACGTGGTCTGATCATAATATTATTATGTCGTCCATGAAGGATCAATGTAATACCAACTATAGAACTTCATGGAGGATGAATGATTACTTACTATATAACACAAAAAATTAAGAGTCTCTCAAAAAACAGCCTGAATGTTTTTTTTGAGGAGAATAATCCAAAGGATACCTCTTATGCTAATAACTGGTGTGCCTTTAAAGCTACCATGAGAGGTAACTTCATACGTTTGAATACACATTTCAAAAATGAAAAAAGAGTTGACCTGATAACACTCTATGTTGATTTAGCAAAAGCCTCAAAAATAATAAATCAACTCACTCTAGGAAGAATGCAGCTGCTGTAAGTGAGTTTCAAAAGCAAGTTAACTATATAATATTAGACAGTAATGCTAAGGTCATGGAGAAACTAAGAAAGAAGAACTATAGTAAAGGCGATTGGGCGGGTAAGATGCTAACAAGGAGGCTGAGAGACAAAATTGCATCAAACAATATTACTAGAATAGAGGTTGATGAAGCAATTGTTTTAACACATATTATAGTAAGCTGTATGCCCTCCCTGCTATTAATAAAGACATAGACAGGTATTTAAATAACACTAATGTCCTGTAATTCCTGATAGTCAAAAGGCCACTCTTACTTGTCCTATAA